GAACGTGCCAAGCGCCTTCCTGATGTGGGCCTTGTACATGCTGTTCCCAGCCTGCTCGCCTTCCCCTCCCCTCTCCTCCCCTCCTCTGCGCCTCGCACCAGGCTTGGTTAACTCTTCATCACCCTTCAGACGCCTTCCTCAGCCAGGCTTGGCCCGATCTGCTTGGTAGCTGCAGTACCTCCTGTCATGTGCTTTGCAGACCCAGCACAGACTGAGGACACTGGGCCCCACTGGCTGCAGAAGAGCAGACTCCGTGTGGGCCCTGGGTACCACACAAGTCTAAGGCTGGAAAGCTGGGATGCCCTGCCTGGACTGGCTCAGCCCTGATCCTTCCTCTAAGTGTGAGCAACGGTCTAACTCAAGCATGTCTAACCTTTGGGCACCACAACACAACGAGATCACTACAAAGTTCCGGGCTCAAGGTACAAACAAACAAACAAACAAACAAACAAACAATAGCTTGTAATGTTTTAAACAAGCTTATGATTTGGGTTAGGGCCACACTCATCGCGATGTGCCTGCAGCCCTCGGGCCAGAAGTTGGATACATCTGAAGCTTTTTATCCCTACAAGTGTCGTCTGTGTAGGTTTTAGATGCAGCCCTGTCCTTCCTGCTCCCAAGCCAGCTTCTAGCACAGAATGGATGCACAGGAAGTGGAGGCATGATGGAAGTAGGATGGAGGAAAGAGTTGGGAGACAGGGAGGGCTGGGAGCTAGAAAGAGAGGGGGTGTGGGTACACGTGAGGAAGCAAGCCAGCCCCCCGCCCCCCTGCTCCCCCCCACACACACACACTCGGGCTGTGGACAGGCAGAGCGATACTCACAGCTGGTAGAAGGGCTGTCGATACCATCCAGTGCTGCCCTGGGGAAGCTGTGCCCAGCCTGGGCAGTGAGCAGTGCTGACTTGATGGCCCTCTCATGGGCAGTGAGCATGAGGGGATGGGTGTGGCCCCCGATCCCTGGGCCCGACAGCGACTGCTGCATGAAGGCCAGCTTGTCCTTGGTCCTGCGTTTCATGTCATCCCATCTGTGCTTAATGTCCTTGATGGAGCGGGGGACCTGGCTGACGGAGGTGACTTTCCGAGCTATGCCTTCCCAAATCTTGTCCCTGTCGGCATGGGACAGTCGCATGGTCTCTCTCCCAAAGAGAACCGCCTCGTGATGGGTCACCTCTGTGACCAGAATGTCCAGCTCCTCCTTGGAGAACTTAGGCTTCCTCTTACGCTCCGCCAGGGGCAGCACATTCCTTGGGTTGAATATCCCACAAAGCATAATTGGGTAAATGACCGTCAACGAGGGTGGTCGTCCTTCCTAATCACAGGCCCCATCTGGGAAGCCGGGGAACACTTGCGGCCACCTAGGCTCCACCACACCCTCCTCCTACAGTGATGCCTCTCCTCCCTCCTCCTCAGAAGGAAGGTGGGAAGAAGAGGTAGAAGGAGTCCAGTAACTGCAGGGTAGGGCTACCCTACCTCTCATCTGCCCTGAGCACCAGGGAGTTCAAGTTCTTTTGACCTTTTGCTGCCCCATTCTCCCCATCCAGAGTGGGGATACCAACCACAGCAGTTTCTGTGGGTTCCATCTACCTATGAACCTTAATGACTTAAGGGGCCGGAGAAATGGCTCCGTGGTTAACACTGACAGCGGATTAGAGTTCGTACCCCAGCAACCACATCAGGGAGTTCACAAACGCCTGTCATTCAAGCTCCAATGGGTCTGTTGCCCCCTCTTGGCCTCTGTGAGCATCTGCACACATGTGTGCATACACACACATATAAACATAACAATTTTGAAAATAAAAAAGAGTAGCCCTACAGTGGACTGCAGTGGTCTGTGGCATTAGCTGCTAGCGTCCATCATGTTGCAAGCACAGGAAGTTTATTCTGTCACTTGTGGCTCATTTTCCCTTCCCAGCATCCCTCGTGTCCCTCTGTCCCTGTACATGTGCAGAGGAAAACAAGCTCTTCCCCCTCAGGGGCGCCACCAGCGGCTCCTCATGGAGTGGCTGCTGTGGCATTCTGGTTAAGATGTGAGGCACCCACGAGCATCCACCAAGAGACACATTACCCTCGGAGGGACACTAGGATAGCCTCGGTGGCTCTTCAAGCTGACCTTGCAGCTGCTCTGGCTTTGGAACCCAATCTTTCCACATTGTGGTTCTATGCACCTTTCACTATAGCTCTGAAAGTTCCACCCAGAAGGAGGAACCAGGGTGATCCGACGGAGGGAAACTCGGATCCCAGCCCATACCTATGGATGCTTCCAAAACCACAGCGGAGATCAGCAGTACTCAGTTCCTCCAGCCTTCTTTCTCGAGATCCTCTCAGCCAATAGAGTGTACTCAGATAAAGGAAAGTTGGGGGCTCTGGTACCCAGCTCAGGACAAGGCCTTGCATTCAGACAGACTTGCGACTATCCTTGGGTGGGGACCACAGGGGCCTCTGTAAAACTAGGGTGAACCCTGTAGGGCCTTAATTATGCCCCTGTGGGCGCTCACAGAGTCTGTGTTAGGAGACGAGGAGATTACTGTACAACGTGGAATGTCCAATAACACGCTTACCTTTTACCCCAGTGCAAACCAGGGGTACCCATGCATGAAGCTCTGCTCATCTAGAGTGTTTGGAAAGCACCGCCAAAGGCACACATGTCTCAAGTGGCCCCCGAAGGCACAAAACAGCCCTTGGTTGAAAATTACTGCACACGCGGAGCACCTAACACAGAGCTTGCATAGGTTAACACTCAAAACATGAATACCTACCCCTTGCCTGGCCCACCACTAGTTTCATAAAGACATCTATCCATCAAATCACCCCCAAACCCCTGGTCTATGAGAGCACAACTAAGTGTGCCTGTAAATTAGCAAGCGCTACCAAAAGCAAAGCCACACACAAACACAACCACTGGATCCTGGAACCTTTCCAAGCCAGGATACATCCGCTAAGACCATCGAGGAGCCGCTTGGGGTCAGGACAGGCTAGGGACAACAGGACAGAGTCATGCTAACAAGGCGGGAGGAGCAGACTCCAACCCACTGCACCCACCCACAGCCACAAGAAGCCGTGCTCTCTTTGGTCCCTTGTGTGTTAGCAGAAAGAAGCCTGGCTTGCAGATCAAGAAGCCTGGTTTGTAGGTCCAGGGACATGGGGCCCCAGTCCTCATTTTGCATTGGATGACATGAACTTGAGCAAGACTTTGCCCTGCTTTGGTCTCCGTTCACCACTGGGGCATGACCACCAGCACAGAGCAATGGCTGTCAGCCTGGATGGCCACATCAGAGTCACGATAAAAAGCTTGCAAAACTGTGATGTCCCAGATCCATCCCCAATCAAATCACATCAGCAGCTCTGGCATGCTAAACAATGGCTTAGTTAGTTGAGATGAGACAATGTCTTCTAAGGGGGTGTGGGGAAGCCCTTTCCACAAACAAAAGCTCAGAAATGGGAGGCAACAAGGGACAGGTCAGCTCTCTAAGCCCTAGTTCCTGGAGCCCTGCAAGTGACAGTGCAAAAGCCTGACACCAGGATGCATCAGACACGCTCTTTCAGCTGGCCTGGACCTGGCTGCGGTGACCCACGCAAAGACCCAGACAGGGTCTGGTCTGTGCTGTCCATTAACAGCATCTCTGCAAGGCTTGTGCCCGCTTGTTCCAGGTGCCCTCAACCAAGCCCTGTCCCCTCTGAAGACTCATGTGTCCTTCCCATTCCACCTGGGCCCTCACAGCCCATGTCTGTTCTTCTCTGTCATTTATGCAGTGGCAGGTGTGAGCCTTGTAAGGCTGCAGAGGGCAGGGCTGGGCAGGGCTGGGCAGGCCTACTCTCGAGTGCCCAGTCTGTATCTGAGCAGAAGCAGTCCTCAGCATAAGGAATACGAGACACCGTCGAGCTGACCTGGACCTTTGGGACAAGGGAGAAGAAGGTGGCTGGGAGTGTCAAGCCCAACTTCCTGTGCCGCTTTCAGGGATAGCTTGCATAAGAGGAGGCAATGTGTGGGTGCTGATTCTGCACCTGTCCGGTGGTAGTGGGGACAGCTGCACCCTCAGTAAGAGGATGGACCCCAACTGCCCCGCAAGCCAGCTGCCGCTCCCAGGACATACAGGTGGCCGTGAGGCCACAGAGAGGGACACAGGGGACCTCCTGTGACTCCCCACTTCCAACCAGCTCCTCCTCACGTGCTCCAACTCCCTGAGACATCCCTTGCTGTCCCCACCTCCTGTCTCCCCATCAGCCCCCAAGAAACCCATCCGAGACTCACAGAACGACACAGCGACAAGGCTTCTGACCCATGATGTGGCTGGGCCCCTGGGTCTGTGAAGGCATCCCTGTTTTCCCAACCAGATCTAAATCTCCTGTCACCACCTCTGGGTCCCAGATAGAGACCACCAAGTGGTACCGAAGACAGAATGGGCCCTTCTCCTAACATATATCCACGAGTAGGACCCACACGAGCCTGGATCCCAACTCGGCGTGGCCACCCTTGTTCAGTTCTCTGCTCTCGCTGGCTAGACTTTCAGGACCCTTCTGGCATACACTTCTAGGCCACAGCCTGGGGCCAGAGCAGAACCACTGTTGCCGGCCGTCAGGCCTAGCGTGAGCCCCGTGGGAAAGGGAGCTGTCAGGAGCCCCCACTGTCTCACACAACCACGGTATGGTTTCTGGGTCTTCCCTGGAGTGATGCCACCCGGGCAGCAGGAATCTGCCCTGGGAAAAATGCCTCTGGTCCATTTCTAGGCTGGGGACATTCTCCTCTTCTGCAGGAATTCTAGCAGGAGCCCACGGCCTCTATAGCCTCCAGGATTCCTTCAGCCTACTGGTCTGGCCACAGGCTCTCCCACTAGAGCCTGTGACGGAATCCTAGGGGAAGAGGGCAGTTCTCTCAAACCCTGCCGGCAGCAGTTCTGGAGCAGTCTGGAGAGAGCTCGGAGAGCCTGGAAGCTCAAGACACTCCCTTGGCTCATCCCAGAGGCTGGTGGGGCCCCCTGGAGCCGGCAGGGATGGGACTCACCTCATCCAGTTGGCTTTGGTCTCGTCTGACCCATCTATGGACTTGTAGCGGTTGTTCTTGTCCACAATCTGTAAAACAGAGAGACTGTCTAGAAGGGGCCATTAGAGAAGGGGGCTCCTTCTCACTAAGGCCAGGGCCCAGCTCCATCTTCAGCCTCACTTCTCTTCCCCGTCCTCCTCACTGTCCCCACTACCCCGCCTCAGATGGCGTCAAGGATCCTTGTTGTCCTCTCTCCACCCACTCCCATTCCCTCAGAGACCCTGGAGAAAGAGCAGAGAGGAAATGGTCACAGCCCTCTCATCTGTACTGATGGAATCCTGGCGACATGGCCCAGGAGCACCACTCCCCACAGGCACTGGGCTGTGCAGTAAAAGCTGAACCCACCCTTCTCTCTCTGTGGGAGATGGGGGCCGTCACTGGGGGCCGGGCTCTTGTGATTGGAAAGGGCTCCTCCTTTCCTCCAACTTCGAATATTCAAGACCCTTGGGGTTTGGGGTGGGGTTGTGTCCAAATGTCTACACTCCACCATCGTTCTGAGATTCAGGATCCCTTGAGACATGGGATTCTAGGCTGTCCCTGACTTTCCTTTCGGAGGGCAGGGGTCATTAAAAGACATATCTGGAACAGATTTGAAGCTTGAAGGTTAGGACAGACAGAGAGGCGCTCAGAAAGGAAGATACACAGAGGGGAAGAGCATGGGTATTGTCTTCTCTCACAGTGGTTCTGGTTTTTTCTTGACCCAGGTGATAAGCAGCCTTAGTCTACAACGGCTCTTTTGTAGTCCACTGTCTTTTCCTTTGCTCAGTCCTTGCCACCATTTTGCACTGTGGTTTTTGAAACAGAGATAATAAAATTCTCTTCACTACTTAATGATCATGTCCACATTTCAGTTCTGGAAAATTCTCACCTTCTCTGTTTTTTAGTAGAATCCCTCATTTTCTCTAATCTCTTCTGGTAGAATTTCTGTTAAATAAACAGAATAGCTCACTCAATCCTCCGTGTCTTTTAACTACCTCCTCATAGTTTACTCTGTCTTTTAGAGCAGTGTCAAGGAAAGTTTCTCAGAACTCTATTCCCATCCACTAATCGTCTCTTTGTGCCTACTCCAGTTTCTTCTATCTATCAGAGTTTTCCTTTCTTACTTCACTTGTTTTTTTGATGTTTTATTTTCATGTTGCCTTAGGCAGAGCTTCACTAAGGTAGCCCAGGCTGAGTGGAATTCTTGCTCCTCCTCCTCAGCCTCCTGAGTGCTGGAATTACAGGCATTCACCACCACGCCCAGTGTCTGTGCCTCCTTTTTAATGAGTATCTTTCATTTAATAAACGTTTTTCACTTTCAATATTATTTTGAAGATCTGTCTCCTTTTTTCATTTGTCTCTTTGAGTTTCACAGTGACATGTTCCTTCTTTCTTGTTTCCACAGCTTAGATGAGATATAATTAGCATATAACACAGACTTTCCTAATTGTGGAAAAATATGCTAGATCAAGGCTTGTTCCCCGAGGACTAGGTGGTACACAGCAACCCCACAAGCCCTTGACACTAGTGTTCAGATTCTATCCATTCTCCTCAAAATGGAAGACCAAGCGTTTGTCGACTGAAATCAGACCATGCCGCTCTCCATCTCGAGGTTTTATCCACTGAGCTTATGATGAAATTCACATTTACGGTTACAGCCTTCCAGGCCTGTGCACCTGAGTCCTGCCAACCTGTCTGCCTGACCTTGGCCTCTTTGGGGTTGAACATGAAGTGTGCACATTGGGCTCCTGTGCTGAGCGCACTGTCTGGTGGTGCTACTTCAGGGGGTGCTGAGAACTCCAAGAGGAAGATCCACTTGGAGAGTGCTGTGAAGGATGTACTAGGTTGTCCCTTCCTTGTTCTCTGATTCCTGTCCACCATGAGGTAAACATCCTCCTCCTCCTCAGGCTCCTACTGCCATGTTCTGCCTCACCACAGGCCCAGGATTAAGGGAGCCGAAGACTATGGACTGGAACCTTCAAGACTGTGAGCCAAAATAAACGCTCCTTTGTTTGGCTCTGTGTGTCGGGCATTCTGTCACGGTAAGGGGAAAGGTAACTGACCCAGTCTCTCTCTGCCCCTCACTTTGCTGCAGCCTGTTCTGAGGGGCAGTGATTTCAGCTTTCAGCCATGCCCAGAATCTCTTTTCCATACCTTTGAAAGAATCATACTCCTGGAGTACTCCAAACACTCCGAAATAGTAAGAGGATAAAGTAGCTGACGGCAAGAGCCAACAGAACGCACACTGGTCATGTTCCTCTCAGATCTTTCCCTTGGCTTCAAAAAAACTCCCAAGCTGGGATAGGAAGATGACTCAGTGGGTACAGGCACAAGGACATGGGCCTGACAACCTGAATTTCATCCCCAGATCACAAATGGAGACAGGAAGGAACCAGTTCCCAAGAGCTGTCCTCTGACCAAATGCCTGCACACACATGCACACACACAGACATGTACACATATGCACATGAACACACACACATGTGCATGTACACACACGCACACACATGTATACTCACAGGCATGAACACATACACACAAGTGCATGTGCACACACACATATGCACACATGCACACACACATGCATACAACACACACACCAAATAAATAAAAATTATAAATCCCAAGTAAAGACCACCTCTGCCTCCAACTCCTTCCCCACTTCCCCCCTCCAAGAATAACCACGTCCTGAAGCTGGGGACCCTCACCCCATTTTTTCCACACACATGATCCTCTTCTATGAACAACATGCAACACTGTTTTGCAAAAATTTAGAAAATGGAATAGTCTCATCTGGAATGTTCCCCTCAGGCTCGCGTTCTGATCGTGTGGTCCCCTGCTGGTGGCACTATTTTGAAGGGTGTGAAGGCTTTAGGAGGTGGGGCCTGGCTGGCAGACTCTGGCTCTGGCCCTTCACTCTGCTTTCTATGTGCGGCGTCTTCACCACACGCTCCCACCACCACAAACTCTGCCAGCCCTTCCCTACTATGACGGTCTGAAAGTCCTCTGAAACCCTGAGCTAAAGTAAGTCCTCCTTCATTTCCCCTTCTCTACTGGGTCCTTGATTATAGTAACTAATACCGAGTAACAATTATAGTATATAATTGCTTGATTATAGTAACAATACCTAATGGTGGGAGCTCACAGAAATGGCCCCCAAGTGACCACATCCTCTTAAAACTTTTCCTCACTGAGCTGTGATGGCGGCTCCTTTCCCATCTGTGGGTCTCAGACTGTGTCACCTCTGCAGGCCCTCCTGATCTGAGCAAACTCTCCCCATCCACAGCCCTGGTCTCCCCAGGATTGGCTCCATGACATCCCATCACTTTTTCCAAGATCCTTGGCGGCAAAGATCATGTCTGTTGATGGTATGTCTGTTAGCCGTGATGAGGGAGAGGCTCTCTCGCCAGGGTCTAAGGGTTTCTAACTGGGCCAGCTGTTAGCTTGTTGGACTTTCCTAAACCAGCTGGGAGACACAGCCACCATCAAAACTCGCGAGACATCAGATTTCACACTTTTAAGAGGGAAGAACCCATTCAGAACTTACCACTCTTAGCTCTTTCACTACACTTTCTGGTTATCTGTGTGGCTACAGCTCAGACCTAGGGAATAGTCCCCTAAGCCCTTGAGTTAGTAACTTGGTCCTCAGCTCAGCACTATTGGAAGCCGATGGAACCTTTTAGAGGCGGGGCCTAGTGGGAGGTCTTGGGTGTTTATGGAATGCTAGTCTCTTCCCAGGGGTCGTGTGGTGTGGCAGCTTGCCTCCCTATGCTCCCCAGTATAACGTACAGCCTTGCAGCAGGCCTCAAAGCAAAGCAGGCAAGCGGTCAGGGATTTAAACAGCTGAAACTATGAATCCAGTTCCCAACTTAACCGGCTCACATATTCTGATACAGCAATGGGCACCAGGGATGCAACATTTACGGTGGATCCCTCAGCTAAGACATGCAAGGCCCTGGGTTCCATTCCCAGTACCACACACTCACACTACTCGGGACTTCTCTGGAGTAATCAAAACTAACCGGCACCATACTCTCTGTGCAATGAAGTACCACATTCAAAGCATCCTTCCCAACCTGGCATTCAGGGAATCCAGGCACATCAGGAGCTTTGTCACCCCAGAAACCAGTATGCACGCCCCAGTATTAGCCACAGGTGGTCACACACCAGCGCAGCTATGGCTGTGCGTACAGGATCAGAGGACGGGGCGCGCTCTGCAAACCTTCAACTCCGCTTTGCCTCTAGAGGAGGAGAGAGAAGCGGGGGTGTTTCTCCTTTGTGGATGAGCCTAACCAGCCATGGTGCTTCCGACAGTGTCAGAAACAGGACGCCGGGAAGATGAGCCAGCTGGCGGCAAAGCGCTTGCTGTTCAGACATGAAGACCTGAGTTCAATCTTCAGGATCTGAATCAAAAAAGCTGGGCATGGTGATGTAACCTTGTCATCCTGACACTGGGAAGATGGACACGAGAGTATCTCTGGGGCTTGCCGGCCAGAGAGTCTAGCCAATCCACAAGCCTCAGGCCAAGTGAGAAGGCTTGTTTTAAAAACAAACCAAAATACAAGTAAGATGGGCCTCGGAGGTATGACACCCAAGGTTGAATTCTGGCCTCTACACGCATGAACACACGTACCTGCACACGCAGGGGCAAGTGCAAACACACACAAATTAAGGCGAGACATGCTGCGGCTCAGGCTTCCTCTCCTCCATCATCTCCCCAGATGACAGACGTCCTAGTCTACGGGGACCTCCATGGAGTGGCCCGGAGTCCAGTCCTTATGCCAACACTGCACGGTTCTGTCACAGCTCCCAGTGGGCTGAAATCTCAGCTCACAGTTCAGGAGCTGCTGCAGGTGTGGCCTTGGGCAGGGGTTTCACTGGGCAGACCTCAATTTTCTCTGTAAAACCAGAGCACCCTTGCGCCCTTGCAGCCTTGACCATGGCAGAAGGTGTGACGCTAATGGTGGCTATCAGCATCATGACTGTGAGTGCCAATAAGAAAAGACCAAATGGTCCTTGTCAATTCAACAAGGAATTAACGACAAGGGGG